CCCGTCCCCTCCCCTCCCCTCCCTCCGACAACCAAAAAAAGAAACTTATTTTGCCGTGAAAATATGAAATTCAGTATCAGCAGGAGGGAGTACAATTCAGTAGTCTCTATTTCAATTACGTATATTATGTTCCTGCTGCTTTCTTAACATAAGGTTGTATATAACAGATGCTTGATTAATCGCATCATAATAAGTGCACGTCATTGAGTAGATAATCAATCTAGTCACTTATTTTTGTTATTTTTTGTTGAAAAAGACAGTCTGACCACCAATACCAATTTCATTTAATCAGGCGAACAATCTTGCATAAACTTACGATATGACATTTTCTTGTCATCTTAAGTAACTTCGACACCATTACGTTGTGAAGTTTAACTCATAAAGCTATTTCCTACCCTCTAACATAGCATGGTTTATCTGACTTATCCAGAAAAAATCATGGTTTATACTTGTTTTTCCTATATTGAGCTTCTGCTTGGTTAGGACTTAGGATATGAGTTTTATACGAGCTCCTCTGAGTCCTTAGATCTATTGAGGCTCTCAAGTTTTTATTTGGAAGTTTTATGCATCTACAGATTGAATGGAGTGTCAAATCAGGCTCTTTGAGAAATATTGACTCTGCTCGTGTATCCATCCCCAACACATTGAAATATGATGAATCAAAAAAATGGTGCGTAACCATGTCATATGCTTGGCATGTCTTCCTTTCTTTCTTTTTTATTTTTGGGATGGTACTGGGGAAGAGGGCTGGAGTTCTTTCTTTCAGTTCTGTTTTCGGACTTAGGTGATTAGATAGGTTTTCTGTATGTTTTTTTTTTGGTGTTGGCTTATGATGCTGCTAATTCCCATCACCAACACTTATACTGCAGTTACACGCATAGAGCAAGACTGGAAGAAACTGAGCAGTATTGGAGAGAATGGTACGAGCTATTCTTTTCTGCTTGTCCAATCTAGATCTTTTGCATATCCTGACATATTATGCTGTTTTAGAAACACTAAATCTTGTGTTTAGGGTCCTAGGAGACCATTTGGGACTGCGTTGCATCAATTTTCTAGCAATTAGCCTCAGTTTATGGGGGGGAAAAACTGTTTTCTGGTCTGCTCAGTTTATGCCTCAGTTTGTGTCTGCTCCTTAGTTATTCAGTAAGTTTTTGTACATGAGAAGACACTCTTATGTTGTATAGTTTTGCTATGCATATTCTTGATGCCTTTTAATGAAACTCTCTTCATAAAAAAAATGTATTTTGGTTCTCTAACAATTTAAAAAAGTTAAACCTTTTTTATTTTTTCTTCTCCTTTGCCTGTGATCTTGAAGGTTATGGTCGTCATTCATTCAGTTAGATAGCGGTCACGCTGAAAATTATTACGTCAAACAGAATGAATATTTAGTCTTTTTATGATAAGTAAGGCATGAATTATATTTTACACAGCACCAAGAAAGCACTGGGAAGTTACAGATTTTAATGGACTTACTCCTTTAAATACGTAAGGGGCCTCTGAAGTTCGATACATTGATTAAATCATGTATAATTTTCTTACTACACCAAATATTCATTAGTTGAAGACTTCTAAATTTACACAAGATATTGCTTCTGATCTTTCTTCAGAACACCAATGATTTCTTTCTGACCCAATTGGTTACAGCTGCCTTCACATTGGCAGGCATCTATGTAGCCCAAACAAATTCAATCACAGCATTAACTTATCCTTACTTTGAGTTATTATTGAAGTGGCCTTCAATCATTGAATTGTCTGCAAAATGCTTAGTGTTCTACATTGGTAGAAGTGCGTATTCTTGTAACTCTTTCCTTTAAAGAAAACCAAACCAAAAGGTAGTAGAGCAAGATACTTTTGCGATTTATTATGAACACTGAAAGCACTCAGAATGAAAAGGACTAATTGTTAAATTTTATGATCATCAACCCATGCTTGTGGTCCTACTCTGAGTGTGTGTTCGCTCGAATTAATCACATGATTGCAATGCAAAACAAATGACTGATAGTCTCTAAGCTAATCTCACAATATAGCACCTGCTGCACAAGTTAAAGCTCCTTTTCAAATAAATTTGTTCTTTTTATTCCCTCAGGGTTTCTCTAACTGCTACGGTCCTTTTAGAATGGCATTGACTATATGTAGACTCGAGAAGTTCTCTTAATTTTGCAGTCTGTGTCATGCTTCCAGAGGTCTGACACCTAGTGCTGATGAGGAAGCTGAGCATCTTGTTTTCCATTTTAGCGGCATATGTCAATTTGAACCTGAAATTATAATGCCCTTGTTTCAGGTACGAAGGCCTTTCAGAAAAGTTTTTGTCATCTCCTGTTCCAAAGATATTGCTGTTAGCTGGGACAGACAGACTTGACAGGTTGTGTACTTCTCTCTGTATCGAAGGTCATGTGGAATTCTATAATTGCATATGCTTGTTAGCATGCATGCGAAGCTTTAACACTGTGATTATGTATGAGACATGGTTCTGTATATTCCTTTTCGGATCTGTGGTTATGTAAGAGATGGTTCTTCTGTATATTCCTTTTCTGATCTTACTTCTCAGTGAATCATGTTGGAACAATTGATGTGCATGGCTTTCCTAAACAAGATAGTACTTGCAGATTCACTTGTAATGAGGAATTGCATGTCCATTCCTTCTGGCAAAAGTATCTCTAAATGCCAGCCAATTTCTCCCAGTTAACTATTTACTAGTTGGGAATATGTATTATTCTTAACTGCGTACACAAAGCAGAATTGCCAAAGTCTGCTTAGAATCTCTAGAGACTTGTCACTATTCAGTATATGAAGAAACAAGCAGCAAACAGAGGAATTATCAGTGGAAGTAATAAAGAGCTGCCATTTGTCTATCAAATCACATAAGGATTACATTCCTTTTATTGCCATTGCATGTCCATGAACTAAGAATTTATCATTTGGTTTCAGAAAAGTTTATTCTCCTTTAGCGCTCTCCTTACTACCACTAATGTAACTGAAATAGATATACAAAGCTATTAGAGAAAACGGTGTGCTTATGCTTAACACTCTTTAACCAATTTATATAGGGTTCTCCAACCAAATCTCACGTAAACAGCTAACTTTCAGAACATGTAAGTGGAAATTACCTAGTTTCCAGTGGATAGATGTCTCTGTAATTTTTACTGCACACCAACAGTTTTCTGGTGGGAATACCCTTCATTGTAACTACCTTACTTTCTTTCACCAAAAAAAAAAGTAGAAAAGAAGAAAAAGAAGTCTCCATTCTAGCTTAAAGCTTGGATATACCATTGAATTTGTTACAATTAAGTTATATCCTATTTATGTTTTCCATGATGCTGTTTTGTTCAGAGGAAGCTATACTCTATTGATATATTTTGTCCAGATATAATTTCTTTTGCAACCCATTGTCATCAATGAGATACTACAAAGTTGAATCTGCAGTTAATGGATTTCATTTTGTTCTGGTGAAAGATTATAAAAGCTTAAGTCGTAACTATTGGAAACCGCCTAACGCTAGAAGCATGAACTACATCTTTCTCGTTTGTGTTCTAAATAGGCCTGAGACTAATTTGTCCATTTATTGTCACAGAGCCCTCACAATAGGTCAAATGCAAGGGAAGTTCCAAATGGTGGTTGTTAGACACACAGGCCACGCTATACAGGTCCATTTTGGTTTTCTTAAGATGGCAGTTGTTTTAACTGAAATTGCAACTCCTGAATATTTGCTTGTCCTTTGAGCACTGCAGGAAGATGTACCTGATGAATTTGCTACTTTGCTACTCAATTTCATTTCCCATAATCGAATAGGCCCACAAGGAATTGAGGTTAGTTTCGAACTACTTTGAAGTGTCTAACATGATATTTTAAAATCCAAAAGTTTTTTTTTTTTCTCCTTATTTTACTTTTTTGGGTATGGTAGACTCCACACCATGTACCCTTAGACCGTAGTGAACTCAAACCTCCGGCTTTATTGTTAGAGGTGGATGGTCTTTATCACTAGGTTGTTCCTCGTCGAATTCCAAATGCTTTTGTTCTTCAATATCTTGGTTTGCTTTTGGAATTAGGCATATTTTAATTGTGTTACGTGTTTGGGATTGAGGCATAGTTGTTATTGTTGTTGGCAATGTTATATGGAAGCGTATCATTTTCTTACGACTTTCATGAACAATGCATTTAAACGGTGATTTTGCTTGCAGATACCTGGACTTCGTCGACCCCCTCAGTCAAAACCTTGAATACTGGACTGCTGCGGAATAAGAATTTAATAGTTCCTATTTGTAACTTCGAGCCGTTTAGCCCTAAGAAATTTTTCACTTTTTTCAGAATCAGTGATTAGCCAAGAAAATTTCAAATATCACTTGAAGTTGAATTTTAGAATTTTTCGAAAATTTGAAAATCACTGCATACTGTACAAAATAAGGTATTAAGGCAAGCAATAAATATAAAGTGGCTGGAAAATATGACTATGCAATTATTACTGTTAACTATACAAGACATTCACCTATACGTGCCAAGGACCTTGTCCAGTGTCCACTACTGTTACATCATAGTATATATTTATAAACTAGTTATAAAAAAATTATGATGCATTTTGTTATACGGAAATTTATAAAGTATAAGTTAATACCTAAATTTAGGTATATGATATGCTGATGTTACGCTTTTCAATGCATTTATTTTTTAGCTTTTACGTGTTTCAATTCATTTATTTTCTATTATAATTTTGAAAAATAGAAATATAATATTTGGATCCATATGAGGGATTTAAGAAACTGAACAAAATAAAATATTAAACTTGTATTTTTTTTAGCAAAAATAACAAAATTAAAAAAAATGCTGGGCGGGATGGGACGGGTTGAAAATAGAAAAAAACTAATATGTGGGGCAGTTTGAAAATAGAAAAAAACTGCTATGTGGGATGGGTTGAAATTTTGTGGGTTAAGCCTTAATCCGCCCCATTGCCATTCCTATTTTACTGGTTATCCATATGATACTAACCATACGCTCTTGTTTCATGATCAAGAGGTTGCTTGGTTGGCATTTGGTTCACAGCGAGTGATTAATAACGTGGCATGCATTATTGTGGCAATCGAATTTAGCGTAGTAGTTTATTTGCCCGATTCCTCTAGTAAGTAGTAACAAACTGTCAAAAGTTTTGGCTGTCCAATTCGACACTTCGACTCAGCACAGCACAATGATGCATTCAATGCCATGCCTAGAATGCCTTGCTGGATCTTTCCTCTGTAAAGCTATCTACACCGTCAACTAGGGCTATACAAAAAAAATCGATAAATCGCATCAAACTGATTATTCGAGTCAAATCGAGAAAAAAATCCGACTATGATTTGATTTTGTGTTAGAAAAAAAAACCCTACCATAATTGGTTTAGTTTGGTTTTAACTAGAAAAAATCAAACTGAAACCAAACCAACCCGACATTACATGTATACAAGTTTTTAAAATATTTTATACATAAAAATAATTATTGTTATATAATTTATAAATATTTTTTAAACTTTTTCATAATTCACTCTTTTAATGTATTATTTCAAACTAGAACTTAGAATTTTTGAATGGTCGAATATGTTTTATAGCAAATAAAAGTTAGTAACTCAAATAAAGCCCAAAGCAAAATAAATCAATACTAATGCTAAAAAAGAATCAATCAATACTAGGAAGTAGGAATGACAATAGTATTGTATATTTATTCTTTTAGTTTTGCATTGGTTTAGATAGTGAAAATGTATAAATTATTTTTATCATATTATTTAGTCATGTAATTAATACTTAGTACTTATTTTAGCATAACTTAGTAATTTTAGATTATGTTTATTTTTATTATGTCTTATTAATTAACAATATTTATTTTATGCGACTTGTTGAGTATTTTAGTATAATCATGACTCATCTCACATTATTTTGTATTATTTTCTTGGAAAGCATCTTATATAGTTTTATCCTACTAGGACCTAAGAAATATTAGAGCACACATTATGTATTTTATGCTATGAAGATTTTATCTGGAAAAAACCCGACAACCGAAAAACTCGAGAAAAAACGAGATTGAAAAATTCGACTTCTGTTGGTTTGGTTTGGTTTATAAATTTAAAAATCCGAGACAATTGGTTTGGTTTGATAATTGAAAAACTCGAATCAACCCGGCCTATGTACAACCCTACTGACAATAATGAAAGGATTTAATCTCTAGCCGTTCAATCAATGTAACACGCTGATCCTTGCCTTTGCCCGACAGTCACAATTATCAAACCCATTGAGCAGACAACTATCAAAGTCAAGAGGTATGTCCAAAAACAGCTTGTCGAAATGAGTTTTTAACCATAATTATCCCTTTTAGTATAGGAGTATATCTAATATTTCGGGCAGAGCACTTATTGTCCTTTATCGTTATTAAAATGAAGCACATAAAACCAACTTAACGCCAAGCATAAACAGAACGCATGTAACTTACAGGGGAGCCCCATCACATGTGCACTGCAAATGACAGTAAAAACATGAGCCAAATAGAGGTCTTCTTCCTAGATCACCATTTTTCTCTCTTCACCCTTAATCCCTAATTACATGCGAAGCTACATGTCATGCTTTTTATCTTGCAGTCATGAAAGAGAAACTCAAAAAGGAGAAAAGTATTTTAAAGCAAAAATTCAATAATTCTTTTAAGATAAGAACTGATGGTATAGTTTAATTTTGCACATTTTGCTCATCCTTCATTGCACATTGTGTTTAGAGAACTTCATCTGGGTTTTCCCCGCGCTTTTGCTTTTGCAGCCATAAAATTCATAGTTTTGTGCAATGTGTTAGGGTTTGCTGTTAACTAAACTATATGTGCTCCATTTTAGCAAAGATGAAGGACAATAAGTGTTCAAGCTAAAATATCAAGGACAAAATTAGACCTACTCCTATACTTGAACAACAATTTCGGTTAAAAACTTGAAACCCTAAAAACTCAAAATAAACTAGAGCAACGTTCTTTCATCCGGAATGTTGCATTTCTTCTACTTGTAAAGATATAACTCATCAATGCATAATGCCTGTAACTTATTATACAAAAGCACCCCTCCCTAGTGGATCATTTATACCTTTAAATTTGCATCGAATAAGAGAAAAGACCAAGAAAAACAACACACCACCAAAGACATAATAATCATAAGAGAATGATATTAAAATTAGCATTGTTTGCCAAGTCTTTTTCACCTCTTCTCCAGAAGGTAACAAAAAATTTCGTATGAATCAGTTCTGGAAACAAATGAGTTGGACCGAAAGAGGTCAACTTATTACTTTAAAAAATCAATGGTTTATCCGCACAGCAAAACATGCCTATCAGACTACAAAATAGAAAATTTCTGTCAGTAATTCCTTAGGCAGTAGCAGATTTCAGGTAGGCAATGAGGTCTGCACGATCCTGTGGCTTCTTCAAACCAGGGAAAACCATCTTTGTTCCAGGTATGTACTGTAGAAACAATCAACAGAATTGCAAATAAGGAAAATGCGGATTCTAATGAAAGGAAACATAAGAAAGCAGAAAACAAAAGGAACTACAATATGTATATACATTCATGCAACGAAAATGCAATTTCCACAAGGATTCGCTCAAGATTATGCAGTTAGGTTGGCCAATCAGACAACCGTGACTCAGCGGTAATGTAAACAGAAAATCTAGCAAAATGATAACTTTAACCATACCTTCTTGGGGTTGAGCAAATAATCATACAAAGTCTTTTCTTCCCACATCACAGCCATATTCTTATTGGCAGCAGAGTAGGAGTAACCAGCAGTAGTTCCAGACTGCCTTCCAAAAAGTCCATTCAAATTAGGTCCTGTTAAAATACATATTGTTGTAAGTTACTGCAGAACTCATAAAACAATTCCAAATAGAAGAACTCTACATGTCTTTGCACACACCCTTCACCCAGAAGGGATACATCGAAGTTAAGACAATTATCATAATCCAGCATGGTTATAAAGAATTTAAAAAAAAAAGAAAGGAGTCATCAAGATATGAAAAGATAATTGTAAACATGGACCTTCAGGGAAGCTTTAAGCACAATTAACCCAAATAGCCGCGCACCCAATTGCTTAAACTAAAAATAGCCGATGGAGGTATAATATGTATTATGTTTATAATCTATATATATGGCTAGAAAAGGCAAACAGTAAATATGGCCGGCTATTTGTGTAAAGATATGGCCAGCTATTTGTGTACATATGAAAAGAAATTTGGGGAAATATAGATGGCAAAACCAAAGGGGAAAGGACCACAAAATTAACACAGAACATAATTAAACTGGTCTCTGCAAAAGATGTATTCGTATATTATGCTAACTAAAACCTCAGTATGAAATCTGCAATCATTCTAAATTCTAATTCCATAATGAAACCAAAGAACTAGAGCAACCCAATTTTCTTTCACCAAAACCATCAGTGAGTTTGTCAGTTAAGAGAGAAATATATTTATCAAGGATATCGAGCAACCTAGTTTTCAGTTAATAAGCATATTTGCAACATATTTTCTTATTCAACTATTAGTGTCTACGGAAGTGATACCTCCCAAATGAGTAACCTCTTAGCAGTTTCTTCAAGCTATTCTAAAATCAAGTTCAATCACCCAGCCCTAACAGAATAATCGAAGTGACACAATTAGTGTAATAATGTTTTCGCTGATCAAAATTCAAGATTATCATAACTGCTGCTGAAAATACAGAAAAGCACCTGCAAAACTAAGATACTACTCCTTTCAAGATTATGAAAACTAATAACAGCAGATAGAAAGAACAAGTAACAATTTGTAGCCAATCTTTTTGCCACAGAATTATATGAGTCACAATTGAACTCATAAATGTTCCTTTCATAAATAATTGCCAAGTAAAATCACAATTAAATTATAATTGGGGATCTAACTAATCAATAATCAGAAATCACAAAAAAAACATTAAACTCAGACTACACGTTAGATAATACTCTATATAATGCCCAAAAAAAGTGACTAAAACTATATATAGATAAATGAATTAAAAAGAAAACTAAATATATACAGAAAAACCGATGTAATTGCAGATCTGCTAAAATAACCCATCAAAGTTCAGACCTTTTCACCAAATAAATAAAGGAAAAATAAGAATTCATCAGATCAATAAATTTATAAACATAAATCACATAAAAAGAACCAAACCATAATCGCCAGATCTGAAAAAAAAAACAACAAGAAATCTTTACAAAAAACATAAAAAGGAAAAAGGAAAAAGAGAAGGTGTACCTTGTTTATGACCAGCACCTTGTTCAACAGTATGGCATTGAGCACACTTAGTCTTAAAGATCTTTGCCCCTGCTGCTTCGTTCCCCGGTGGTGCCTCTGCAAATGATGCCATTTTTTGAATTTGGGGCTTTTTCTGATTTTCTGAAAGTAGAAAGCAAAGAGAAGGAGAAAGCTTATACAGTAGGTTTTTGGTGAAAATAA